AGGGTTGCTTATAGGTCATTTATACATAATCGAATAAAGAAATACAAATATTTGCTGTACTACAAAAATTACAACCCCCGCAATCGAGGATTACTTTACATATGAGACTGAATTTTCTAATAAAATTCGTAATTTTAAACCCACAGGGAACTTTAACCTTAGAGAGCAATTTAAGGGTTGCTTATAGATCATTTAAACATAATCGATTAACGAACTACAAATATTTGATGTACTACAAAAATTACAACCCCCGCAATCGAGGATTACTTTACATATGAGAATGAATTTTCTTATAAAATTCGTAATTTTAAAACCAAAGGGAACTTTAACCTTAGAGAGCAATTTAAGGGTTGCTTATGGGTCATTTATACATAATCGAATAACGAAGTACAAATATTTGCTGTACTAAAATAATTACAACCCCCGCAATCGAGGATTACTTTACATATGAGTTATTTTCTGGTTACTGTCTTCCACGCAGGTACCACCACACCATCAGCCACGAAACCGGCATCCGTGCCATCCCTTGACGACGATAACGCCGCCGCGATGGAGCTGGCAGTAATACCACCACCCTCTTCCAACCTCGGGCTCAATCGAAACAAGCGGCAGACCTCAGACCTTCACCGGTATCGGTACCACCACCACCAACGCTGCAACTACCGCCAACTAGCAGGCAAGAGGACCCAAGAAACCACCCGCCTACCCCCTGAAGACTCCTGATGGGGGACGAAGCCGCCGAAAAAAGCAGAAGTCTTCGCCTCAACTGTCCAACAAGTTTCACTAAACATCCAATAACTGACGAGGATCAGAACCAAGAAATGGAGGAGGAATTCTAGCAATGCCAGTGCCAAACGAACTGCATTACAAATCTCGCACCTAGATCAGGGCGGATTAATCTACAGCTGGAAGAGCTACAGGGCACGACCGTGCTCTCCAAAATGTTACGAGGACAACGCTGGGGTACCTCACAAGTATCTATAACGCCATCCTCCACCTAAAACTGTTTCCGGGGTCGTAGGGTGAAAAAACATCTGTAGCTGTCTCGCTAGACAATGGAAGATGAGTTTGCTGGTCAAACCCTTAATTTCCATGCAATGCACGCTCAAAGTTACATTCATACCTAATCCTAAATCCTGCCTTCTTTCAATTTTCTGTACAGGGAAACCCTGTTACATAGCTTTTTTTGCTCGGTACAGGTTAGTACCATTTCCCTTACAACTTTCAGATTAGGTATTCTAGTCTGCTACAGACTCTGTATTCAGCGCGTTTTAAAATCACATACGGGATATAAGTTTAATTTCCGTATGAACGATTTTAATCGTTTGAATGCTGCTTCAAATTCAGTTCACGCCGCCTAATTGGAAAACCGAAGAAAAATCCCGTACGCACCTCTGGATAGTGACGAAACATAGTTGCAGTTAATTAGAAGTAAGTTTTCATTACTCATCCGCGATGTCACTATATTACGTTTTAATTTCCTGAAGTCAGTCATCTCTTCGCAAATGCAGCGTGAAGTCCTTCGTCTGGAAATTTACTAAAAGAGAAATTAAATACCAATTTCATTATCGGCATTGCAAAGGAAAAGCCGCCGCTTTGCAGTTATCCATGTGAAATCAGAAGCTCCTTAAGCTCTGGAACTGTATCATTCTAAGTACCCCATTTTGTATGCATGGATAGAGAGGGTAGATAAAAATTCCATTTGTTAGACATAATATTTCAATCATCGTCGCGGCGTTTTCACGCAGCGCCAGTGGGAAAAGGCGCTTATTAAAATATGTCAGTTTATTTCTTTTTGTCCCTCCGGTTGAAATTGTGGTCTGTTTCTGACTGTATCTCTCATTTGACCGTATTTGCATGTACTGAGCTACCCACGTTACTTTTCTCAAAGGGAAGGTGGTTTCACTTTGTCCTGACAGATGTATGAAATGAAACCCAAATTCTATTTTAATAGAAATGAAAGTTAAAAATTTCATTAAGCCCTCAATATTGATATTTCAGCACCGCTAATTGTTAAACATTTTAGTTTCAATAAATAGCGAAAACCAGGATAGAAATCGAGTGTATATAACGACAACAGTTGCTACACCGGAAAATTCCAATTAGCAATAGGTTGAAGTGTTCCACCCTGTATATACAAATTACACGGCAATGCACACATTTTTCAGAGTTGGCAACCGCGCAATTTTTAGGAGTGGAAAAGCTACCTGCGCCATCTAGAAAGCGCGTTCGTGAGTTACGTTTGGCATCTTGTCGTAAATGGCGGTCGTGAACGCGTCGCTCCATAAATGTTTGTTGTTATTTAATGCAGGTAGTAATTTTTCCATTTCTTTATATCGTATTTGTGTTTTGTATGCCGCATTTCATATTTTTTGTTTGTTTCGATTTTTGTTTTTGAAATTTACTTAGTTCAATAGCAATGCAGAATGACATATTTGATACCGTTATGCTATTGTTTGTAATTGTTTACGTTTTTGGTGGTGTAGTGCTTGCTTAATTTATGTTTATTGATGTTGATTACTTGGTCTTGTCCCTGAAGTAACATTCATATAAGTTTTGATCATTTTATTTTAA